ATTGCTGTTTTTAATGTATTTTTGATCAAATAAATGCAGCCTTGAAAAAAAAAATCTAACCTACCCCAAACCTTTGAATAGTGAATATTAAAATAATAATTATAAAATAAATCATGATTATTATTTTAATTTGTAATTAAAATAATTTCACATAATTTCAATAGACTTTTATCACTGACAATGATATCATCTTTCTCCTCAGCATGGCATTGTGCCCATCGTGGAGCCTGAGATTCTGCCTGATGGTGACCATGACCTGAAGAGGTGCCAGTATGTGACCGAGAAGGTTCTGGCTGCTGTGTACAAGGCTCTGTCAGACCACCATGTCTACTTGGAGGGCACTCTGCTCAAACCCAACATGGTGACCGCCGGGCATTCGTGTTCCCAGAAGAACACCCCTCAGGAGGTTGCCATGGCCACTGTCACAGCTCTTCGCCGCACCGTTCCTCCCGCTGTGCCTGGTTAGTAAAGCGACCGCAATTACTCACTCAGTCATGACAGAGTCTTTATCTTATCACAGGCCTGCTTGATAACTACTTAAGCATGTAATTATCATCATGCATTATCATTACTTCATACCACACCCATTTCTCGATGTAGGTATCACCTTCCTGTCTGGAGGCCAGAGTGAGGAGGAGGCCTCACTCAACCTGAATGCCATTAACCAGTGTCCCCTGCACAAGCCCTGGGCCCTGACCTTCTCCTACGGTCGTGCGCTGCAGGCCTCTGCCCTCAAAGCCTGGGGTGGCAAGAAGGAGAATTGCAAGGCCTGCCAGGAGGAGTTCGTAAAGAGAGCTCTCGTAAGTTTTATTAACTTGAGATCATCTACTGGCTACTGATCTGGTTATACGAAAACCCATTCATGTAACCAGTTTTTCTCTCAAGCACTGTCTCCAATTGTAGTACAAAAAAATCAGGCATCTTTCTTTAGAATGTTTTTTTTTTTTTTCTAATTATTTATGTATAATTAGTTATATAATTATTTATAGTTAATTTATATTTATGTAGTTCTTTTAAAAAAATAATTTATCATAAATGGTTTATGTAAAAAATTGTAAATACAAAGGTGTTTATAATTTATTATTTCTGTATATATTATACAATCTTTTTTAATTATTATACAAATGTATAATAATTTATTATATATAAATGATATATAATCATTTATTGTTATTCATTTATTTTTATTTTTGCTTATATAGATTTTCTTTTTGAGAATCTTGACTGGTAAGACATGGAGTAATTTGTTCAGGAGGAGGCTTAGCATTTCATATGTGAACATTTAAAAACAACTTTTTTGTCTTACTGTTTTGTGTTTCTATCTCCAGAACAACAGCCAGGCCTGTGTTGGGAAGTATGTGTCCTCAGGAGATAAGGGTGCTGCTGCTGGAGAGTCTCTCTATGTGGCCAACCATGCTTACTAATCAGCAGGAAGTCTTTTACATTTCAATCCTCAGCTTATTCTGAAAGAATCTCTGAACCCGAAGGCATCTATACTCCGAACTCATCATTTGACCCATTCCCTTTTTTTTTCTAGTGATTGTAACTTCCATGTGTGAAACAAAACTATGAAACTACGAGATGATACTTTAAAGAGTAATGGTGATTTAATAATAATGTTTTTTGCCCTTATCTCCTTCCTCTTCCTCCTTTTAATAACACTCCCATGTATTGTAATGTTTAACTCTTTAGAGAAATGTTGCTCTTGTACTTGTAGTACTTATATTAACTGTATTTGACTTGCACAAAGCACATATACCTTTCATGGGTATATGATTATTATTATTATTATTATTGTTTAATATGATACACACTGGAAAAAAAACATTAAAGTATCTTTCACAGCTAACCTAATTTTTGTTTCTTTTGTGCTGTTATTCAGATAACACATCGTTGTGAGGTTTTGTGTGAGCACCTGTTGGAACATTTCTCTTTGAATATTTGTCTATTCATCTTACGAATCTTGTGAACCAACCCGTATATAGATTTATAGGATGACTATCATCATAAGAAGAAGCTCTGCTCCTTTACAGTTACAATTGCAAGAATATTATCAGTAAGATTTTTTGTTATCGTGAGGGATGCTTTATAAACTCTGCTTTATATCCACATTGAAATATTTATAAATACCTAATTTTTGTTTCTTTTGTGCTGTTATTCAGATAACACATCGTGAGGTTTTGTGTGAGCACCTGTTGGAACATTTCTCTTTGAATATTTGTCTATTCATCTTATGAATCTTGTGAACCAACCCGTATATAGATTTATAGGATGACTATCATCATAAGAAGAAGCTCTGCTCCTTTACAGTTACAATTGCAAGAATATTATCAGTAAGATTTTTTGTAATCGTGAGGGATGCTTTATAAACTCTGCTTTATATCCACATTGAAATATTTATAAATATTGTGTTCAAATACGTGGTTCAGAGCGTATATTAAACTTGCCAAAGCATGTGATTTCAGTAAAAAAATCACCTTTTGAAATTTCACAGTTTCGCAACATACTGTAGACTGACATTATCTAGTTTAAATGTTTTTGGCTCCGTTTATTGGCAGCTGGCAGTAGATGTATGCCTTGAGTTCATGACAAGGAGCTCATAGCGGTTTCAGAAGTGACACATTACTTGCAGGAGCCTTTATATCAGTGTAATGCATGAAAACTCCACAAGGAAACATTAATATAAATTTTATATAAATATATTTTATTACAAATTTGTAAGAATTTTTTAATCAATGTTTCTTACAAATCAAGTGATGCATTTCTGAAGACTGTCCAGCAGATGGAGATAGTGATGTTCTGAAAATAGAAATAGAGAACAGAAATTGGCAAAAGTGTTGACTCAAGTGTCTTGTGTTGTGACTCGTGTGCTTGACAATTACAATGTTTAAAAAAAAAAAAGTTCAAATGGTGCAAATACTCTTATAGTACCATGAATAGTTGGGTTAACGTTTATGGTGGTGAATAGGAGATTGCCGCATATATGATTTGTTTTTTTGCATTTCCATTTGCGTTCCACAGCAGAAGAAAAATCATTCATGATATCGGTAGGGATTTTACTGTCACTCTTTCAGCTTTTGTATTTTTGTAAAACACCCTTGCTGCAGTGTTAACTAATTATTATTATTATTATTATTTAATGCCTAAAGGCTATGAAACACAAAGTATAATGTTATAAAATTCACATTTCTTAAATAATGAAAATATAAAAGACTTGGCCAAATTTACAATGCTAAAAACGGTGTAAATGTATCATCACAGTCTGTGAAAAGAGTCCATTGTACCAGCTGTGCGTAACTCATTTTGTTGTTTTTTGACTGACTAAAAAACTGTGGGTCACAACTGGTGACCTTTTTTGTGCTGATGTTTTCTCTGTTTCAGTGATATCCAGTAGCCCCTCACTGCAGAACAAAGATCCAGGGGGCGGGGTTGGATCCACATCTAGGGGGTGGAGATGGTAGGTTTAGGGATCAGGGGGTGGAGACGGGTAGGTTTAGGGGTGGAGATGGGTGGGTTTAGGGATCAGGGGGTGGAGACGGGTAGGTTTAGGGGTGGAGATGGGTGGGTTTAGGGATCAGGGGGTGGAGACGGGTAGGTTTAGGGGTGGAGATGGGTGGGTTTAGGGATCAGGGGGTGGAGACGGGTAGGTTTAGGGGTGGAGATGGGTGGGTTTAGGGATCAGGGGGTGGAGACGGGTAGGTTTAGGTTTCTTAAATAATGAAAATATAAAAGACTTGGCCAAATTTACAATGCTAAAAACGGTGTAAATGTGTCATCACAGTCTGTGAAGAGTCCATTGTACCTGCTGTGCGTAACTCATTTTGTTGTTTTTTGACTGACTAAAAAACTGTGGGTCACAACTGGTGACCTTTTTTGTGCTGATATTTTCTCTGTTTCAGTGATATCCAGTAGCCCTTCACTGCAGAACAAAGATCCAGGGGGCGGGGTTGGATTCACATCTAGGGGGTGGAGATGGTAGGTTTAGGGATCAGGGGGTGGAGACGGGTAGGTTTAGGGGTGGAGATGGGTGGGTTTAGGGATCAGGGGGTGGAGACGGGTAGGTTTAGGGGTGGAGATGGGTGGGTTTAGGGATCAGGGGGTGGAGACGGGTAGGTTTAGGTATATGTAAGGTGGGAGGAGTTGGATCTGGATCCAACCTCATCCCCTGGATCTTGTGTTCTGCGGTGAGGACCATCTCGTGATATCTGACATATTTCCTGTAGAATCCAAGAAGTCAGTGTTTAGAATGGCACGGCATGCCCTGCTGTGTGTTGTAACTACACCATCTGGCTGCAAGTGTCTGCCACTTCACATTTCTTAGTTCACATTCATAAATAGTATTCTGTCAGAATATTAAACATTTTGCAGTCAGATTTTATTTAATATATTAAATGAATTTGACTTTATTTATTTATTTAAATATTTTTTTTTGCAGCTTTGATGTCACAACTCAGGCCTTGTGAATGTGGCACATTTTTGGTGCTGCTGGTCAAGATACATTGTAAGCAGGACATGACATCATTTTCCACAGCCTTTACAAAAACAAAAAACTGGCTGCGCTCATAAATAAATATAGCAGATTTCTCATCATATACCTCAGAGATGAATGCTAATAATAGCCCTCTCCAGTTATTTATAGACCTTCTTGGCATAAATGTATTAGATTACATTTATAATTTTAATACATGTAATTACTTCCGGAATTTAAAGGTTTCAAGTCTCTGTTTAAATTTCGCCACTGCAATAAAAAAAAATATATATATATAAATCAGGCATTTGATGGCAGCAGAGCTTTTTCTTGTAACAATAATATCCTAATAGATTTACATAGCATAGTATGATTTAAAACAATGTCAAATAAACTGAATAAATTCAAATACCTGTATTTATAAGTACATATATTGTGCACTGAAAACAGTCACTGTAGTGTGGGTGGGAACTATTTACGCGTCGCGGCAGTGCGGACAGTCGGATTTGTTTCTGTGCAGCACCTGGTGCTGCTGTGATTAGCTGTCGCTTGTCAATATTTGAGATCATGAAAGTGGAAGAGAGTGGATTGGTGTCGAACTGTTTATCTGACATAACACCACTACAGATGAGCTATTGTCATACAGATAGACGTTTTTTATGAGTCTTTAATGTTTATGGATGCCTGCAGTTATCGTCTCACAGCGAGAGATCAAAAGTTTATGTGACAGTTTTTGACTGTAATAGGTCGCAATGGATCGAGCGTTAAACTCTGACGCTGTCAATACAGCCGACACTGAAGGTAGGATGATTGATGACTTTTTTTAATTACAGTATTTTGTGATTTATAATACGGACAGTTTTGTCTTGACTCTTGAGATGTGTTTATTTGTGTGTCTCCAGGTCATCAACGCTGGAGGAATTGGATTGGTTTTTGGTAAGTGGCTCTTCTGTTAACTTTTCTTTAAATAAGTGATACACAATATGTAAAGTAATCCTCATTATCTCTATCTAGGTTACTGGGACTTTGCAATAACTTTGCATATGTGGTGATGCTGAGTGCAGCACATGACATCTTACAAAAACAGGAATCTCAAAACACAACGACACCTGTAAGACATTTCTGAGCTTGGCTATGATTAGTTTGCTGTAAATGTTACCACATCCTAATCCTTCCCTTGTGAAAATGAAGTGTGCTTAGTTGTATTGAACTTGCACTTCAAATCTTAATAGTATTTATGTTTAAAAAATGTGCTTGAAGATAATGTAATATTAGTTAAATATAATATTAATTAAGATCACTTAAGTGTACTTAAAGTACACTTGCATGGCTGTTTATTAAACGTAAATACTTGTCAGTACATTTTTTAACCATATTTCAAAGACCGTATAATTAAAAATGAATTTACATATAAAGATGCAAGTCCAACTTCTGTTAAAAAAGCACTCAGTTCAAATAATTGCATGTCATATAATTTTAAACTAATATACAGTTTGACTTAATTCAATTCTGTAAACATTGCATTCAGTTTATATATATTTTAAGTATATTATTTCCATATTTAAAAGTATGCTAAAATGTACTTTTTTTGTTGTTGCAGAAATTGATTACTCTGTGTTTCTTGTTTTTTGTTTTGTTCATCCACTAGACTCCAGCTCCAAACGGGACTAACATAGAGATCAGCAACAGCAGCAACAACAACAGCAGCCGCTATGACTGCAATGCTGTGTCCACTGCGGTACGTCTGTCTGTTTGCCCTCACTGTCTTACTTTTTCTCTTTCATTTTATTTTTTGCTTAACCTGTAGAAGCTTGTCCCACATTTAAGTGTAAATGTAAATATTTGTTCAGGGAGTTACACCTTGGATTCTTTCTGTTTCTAGGCTGTGCTGTTGGCAGATATCTTACCCACCCTGCTAATCAAATTCACAGCACCTTTCTATATACACAAAGTGCCTTATGGGTAAAGTTGACAAGCACTTCTTTCTAATTGCAAACATCCATCAGCATCTTCAAACCGGTTTAGTTGTTTAGTTGTTGAAATTATATAATGCTGTGATAAGAGATGGATTGGCAGTTCTGAATATTTTGGAGAAATCGATGTCAAACCTGTTAACAAAGTTAAAGGAACGAAGTCTGATTTTGTTTGTAGCCCTGTACAGTGTTTTTTTTCTGTTCTGTGGAACACAACAGAAGAATTGTTCCTTTATTATTAATTAATGTGTTATTTGTATATAATAATTATGTTTTCTTTTTACTTTTATAATGAACAGATTCCGTGTTTTGGTGTGTTTCATTACGGCAGTAGTCAGCTTCCTGATGGTGTCGTTCTCTTCAACTATATTGATGAGTATATTTGGTAATGAGCATGTGTGTGCATTCCTCTTCTGAGCTGGATTAATGAGATTTGATGAATGTTGTAACGAATCTTTGAATTTTTCCTAGGTGTCGTCTTTGCCAGTATTAGTTCAGGATTGGGGGAGCTTTCCTTTCTCTCCCTCTCTGTGTTTTTCCACAGGTAAAGCCTCCTAGAAACCCATTTATTCCAGTTGTGTTTGGAATAGGATACTATTGTACTTGTGTTTTTTAAAAAATCATGTGAAAGTGAAAGACGTCATTATGCGCATGTTCAGGTGTTATCTGTGGTAATTAAAGCAATTATTTTGCATTTATGATCCAGATTGGTCCAAAAAAAACACACAAACAAACTGAGTCTGTCTGAATAATGAGATATAATAATGTTTCAGTCATTATGCTGGAAATAGAGAGTTTGATTGAGTGCCTTGCATTGTGGGATGCAATATTTTCCTAGTGTGCTTTGTTGAATACTCACATTTTGTGAAATTTATGTATTTTATGCATGCAGAAAATTTGCATACTGTGCACAAGTATGCACTACCATTCCAAAGTCTGGGTCTGTAAGATTCTTTAATTAATGTTTTTATTCTGCAAGGATGCATTAAATTGATCAAAAGTGGCAGTAAAGACATCTTAATGTTGCAAAACATTTCTCTTTTAAATAAATGCTGTTGTTTTGAACTTTCTATTTGCCAAAAAATTCCTGACAAAAAAAAAATCAGTATATTAGAATTAGGGCTGCACGATAAATCGCATGCGATATTTAACGCGCATCTTGTCAGAAAGCCGGTTCTGTAATCAGCGGTAAATCTCCATCACGTGCGTGCTTTCACATTGAGCAGCATTAACTACACAGAGCCGAGCCGACTGACGAGCTGCGCAAAAAATCGCGCGAATATGAACGTGGTTTTGCGCAGCTCGTCAGTGAACAACGGATCTGTGTAGTTAATGCTGCTCAATGTGAAAGCACGCACGTGATGGAGATTTACTGCTGATTACAGAACCGGCTTTCTGACAAGATGCGCGTTAAATATCGCATGCGATTTATCGTGCAGCCCTAATTAGAATGATTTCTGAAGGATCAAATGAGACTGAACACTGTAAAATGGCTGCTGGAAATTCAGCTTTACTATCACAATAATAAATTACATTTAAGATATTCAAACAGAAAACTGTTCTTTTAAATTGTAATAATATTTTGTAACAATTGTAATGATAATACTATTGTACCCTTTTTACTATATATTTTGATCAAAAAATGCAGCCTGTATGAGAATAAGAGACCTCTTTCAAAAACATTTAAAAAGCCCCAGTCGCAGATCTCTCTTTTTACTTGCTGTTTATCTGTACTTTGCATCTGTGTTTCTGTCTCTTTAAGGAATGTGTTAAGTGGCTGGGGGTCCGGCACGGGGGCAGCAGGAGTAGCTGGAGCTTTCCTCTACTCTGCGTTTACACAGGCTGGTCTGACCCCCCAGGTTACGTTATGGATCATGCTGGTTGTGCCTGTTATTTTGGCTGTTAGGTCAGCAGAACTTTCTCAACTCTCTGGCTTGTACCTGTTAACCAGATTCACTGCATAAACATATCTTTTCCTCTTATGATTTCTTTTAGCTATTTCTTTCTCTTGGAGTTCCCATCCTCATTTCCACAGTGGAGACGCCACGGGGATGGTCACAGTCCTTCCAGAGTGGTGAACTCCCAGGAGAGACGTCCTTTAATTGAAGAAGAGACCGATACAGATGAGGATTCTGAGACAACTCAAGAAGAACAAGGTGTGTACAGTTAGGAACTCGTTGCTTGTATTGTTGCAGCTTTTCATGCTCATGATATTGTGTATGATAAGCCATTCATATAACTGTACTGACCATGCTTTCTTATTTCGGACAGAGGACAAGCACATCAGACCCCTGACCTTCACTGACAAAATGTATATCATGAAGGTTAGACCTACTTTGTGCCTGTATATGGTCCTTAGTTTGGTGTTTCTTGTCTGCTTAAATGACATTGCACCTGCTTTGGTCAATAAATGTTTAATGAAATTTAAAGGTGCACTAAGTAATTTTTTTTTATCATTATTGTTTTAGATATTATTTATTTATTCACAAACCTCAGGCACCTATCGGGATGAATGCTATTTTAGTATTAAATCGTTACTGACAGGCATATTTGCCACAAGATTATTTTTTCTCCAAAAATTATAATCATACAATACTAGCATAATTGTATAGAGGTACTGAGATAAAATGTGTAATATTCAGTTAGTCATGTGATCTGTTTCCTTATTTACAATAAAATACCTTTTTTTCTAGGCCACTGAACATCAGAAATGCTGTTCACATCTTTCAGTGTTACATTTTTTTTTTTTTTATTACTTGGTGCGCATTTAAAGTGTGCGCATAGCTTGTGTGTGTGTGTCATGTAGGATAGAATTGTGTGTGTGTGTGTGTGTGTGTGTATTGTTGTTTTGTTTGTAGCTTGCTGTGCTGCAGTCAGAAAATGCACTTCCTCTGAGTATGAGTATTTTAGTTCCTACCCATGTGATCTCTTTCAGGGCCTGCTGAAGTTTATTTTCCCTCTTGGTTTGGTTTACTTTGCTGAGTATTTTATTAACCAGGGACTGGTGAGTGTTTTCTACAGTCTTAGTTAAAAGTCATAAAGAGCAAGACAGCAACAGAACAATCTGTGATCACTAAATATCAATATCTATCCATCCATCTCTCTAATATTAGTTGGAGCTGCTCTACTTCCCTGACTCCCGTCTCTCACACGCAGAACAGTATCGCTGGTAAGACTCATCACGTCCGACTTTATTTCATGATTTTGAATGACACTACCTTTAAAAGTTTTGTGTTCCGTAAGATTTTTAAGTCTTTTATGCTCACCAAAGCTGCAGTGAACAACGGCTCTGTGTAGTTAATGCTGCTCAATGTGAAAGCACGCACGTGATGGAGATTTACTGCTGATTACAGAACCGGCTTTCTGACAAGATGCGCGTTAAATATCGCATGCGATTTATCGTGCAGCCCTAATTAGAATGATTTCTGAAGGATCAAATGAGACTGAACACTGTAAAATGGCTGCTGGAAATTCAGCTTTACTATCACAATAATAAATTACATTTAAGATATTCAAACAGAAAACTGTTCTTTTAAATTGTAATAATATTTTGTAACAATTGTAATGATAATACTATTGTACCCTTTTTACTATATATTTTGATCAAAAAATGCAGCCTGTATGAGAATAAGAGACCTCTTTCAAAAACATTTAAAAAGCCCCAGTCGCAGATCTCTCTTTTTACTTGCTGTTTATCTGTACTTTGCATCTGTGTTTCTGTCTCTTTAAGGAATGTGTTAAGTGGCTGGGGGTCCGGCACGGGGGCAGCAGGAGTAGCTGGAGCTTTCCTCTACTCTGCGTTTACACAGGCTGGTCTGACCCCCCAGGTTACGTTATGGATCATGCTGGTTGTGCCTGTTATTTTGGCTGTTAGGTCAGCAGAACTTTCTCAACTCTCTGGCTTGTACCTGTTAACCAGATTCACTGCATAAACATATCTTTTCCTCTTATGATTTCTTTTAGCTATTTCTTTCTCTTGGAGTTCCCATCCTCATTTCCACAGTGGAGACGCCACGGGGATGGTCACAGTCCTTCCAGAGTGGTGAACTCCCAGGAGAGACGTCCTTTAATTGAAGAAGAGACCGATACAGATGAGGATTCTGAGACAACTCAAGAAGAACAAGGTGTGTACAGTTAGGAACTCGTTGCTTGTATTGTTGCAGCTTTTCATGCTCATGATATTGTGTATGATAAGCCATTCATATAACTGTACTGACCATGCTTTCTTATTTCGGACAGAGGACAAGCACATCAGACCCCTGACCTTCACCGACAAAATGTATATCATGAAGGTTAGACCTACTTTGTGCCTGTATATGGTCCTTAGTTTGGTGTTTCTTGTCTGCTTAAATGACATTGCACCTGCTTTGGTCAATAAATGTTTAATGAAATTTAAAGGTGCACTAAGTAATTTTTTTTTATCATTATTGTTTTAGATATTATTTATTTATTCACAAACCTCAGGCACCTATCGGGATGAATGCTATTTTAGTATTAAATCGTTACTGACAGGCATATTTGCCACAAGATTATTTTTTCTCCAAAAATTATAATCATACAATACTAGCATAATTGTATAGAGGTACTGAGATAAAATGTGTAATATTCAGTTAGTCATGTGATCTGTTTCCTTATTTACAATAAAATACCTTTTTTTCTAGGCCACTGAACATCAGAAATGCTGTTCACATCTTTCAGTGTTACATTTTTTTTTTTTATTATTACTTGGTGTGCATTTAAAGTGTGCGCATAGCTTGTGTGTGTGTGTCATGTACGATAGAATTGTGTGTGTGTTTTGTTTGTAGCTTGTTGTGCTGCAGTCAGAAAATGCACTTCCTCTGAGTATGAGTATTTTAGTTCCTACCCATGTGATCTCTTTCAGGGCCTGCTGAAGTTTATTTTCCCTCTTGGTTTGGTTTACTTTGCTGAGTATTTTATTAACCAGGGACTGGTGAGTGTTTTCTACAGTCTTAGTTAAAAGTCATAAAGAGCGAGACAGCAACAGAACAATCTGTGATCACTAAATATCAATATCTATCCATCCATCTCTCTAATATTAGTTGGAGCTGCTCTACTTCCCTGACTCCCGTCTCTCACACGCAGAACAGTATCGCTGGTAAGACTCATCACGTCCGACTTTATTTCATGATTTTGAATGACACTACCTTTAAAAGTTTTGTGTTCCGTAAGATTTTTAAGTCTTTTATGCTCACCAAAGCTGAAAAAAAAAATACTGAACCCAAACTTTTGAAAGGCAGTGTATATTTTTTAGTGGTTTTTACTCAAACAACAGTCTGAAGATTGAAAGTTCAAGAGCTGGCTCTTAATTTATTACTTTTTTAACCTTATTTAAGTTTGGCAGAGGCATTAAAAGAAAAATAAATGTATAAATCATCCACAAATACACAAGAAAGAAAGCATAAAATATAGATACATAAAGATAAACTAAATAAACAGTTATTGAAGTGATAAAATAAGGTACAATTATGCAGTTGTGGCTTAGTAAAATAGCCATAATGCACTGTCTTTATGAGAGAAAAAAAAAGATAATGCAGGAGAAGAGGATCAGTCAGGGTTGGATAATAAAAGATGTTTCTTAACATATTGCTTAAAGAGACCCCAAGCCTGATTATTTTTTTCACCTTTTTTTAAAGGGAAATTCTGTCATCATTTTCTCACCCTCATGTCTTTCCTAACCTTTATGACTTTCAGTCTTCTTTGGAACATAGAAGAAGATATTTTGAAGAATGTTGGAAACCAAATTTCTCCAAATATCTTTTATGCTTATTATGTCTATTAGGTTTGAAATGTGATGAGATTGAGCAAATGATGACAGAATCTTTATTTCGCTGTGAACTATCCCTTTAAGAGAACATCCCAAATCCACTTGGTAAAAGTTGTAGTCTTGGGATTCTTCACCTCAACATTATAAGTTGTGCTTCATTGTCTCCTCTGCAGGTATCAGACAATTTACCAGGTTGGTGTGTTTGCTTCCCGCACGTCTCTCGTCTGTTTTAAGATCAGGAAAATTTTCCTCATGTCTCTCTTACAGGTGAGATCTGGAGCTGAAGTACAAGACAGTACATAAACTAATGCATGCATATGAAACCGTAAATATAACACAATAGTAAAGAACTCTTCATGACGTGTATTACTCTTTCTCTCTCAGTGTTTGAATGCTGTTCTGTTGGGGTTCGCTGTATACTACCAGTTCTTGCCAAACCCATGGGTGGTTTTCGTTATTGTCCTCTATGAGGGTCTTTTGGGAGGAGCAGCCTATGTCAATACCTTCTTTTTCATTCGCGAGGAGGTATGTGAACCTCATTCAAGCAATTTGTTCATTTGATTTAGATCAGCGTGTATCAGTCAGTGGTCTCTAATGCATTTTCTTATGCTGTGTTTCTGGACAGACCGCTAAGCGCGAAAGAGAGTTTGCCATGGCTGCAGCAAGCGTAGGGGACAGTCTGGGAATCGCTCTTTCTGCAGCTGCCGCCTTCCCCGTTCACCATTATTTCTGCTCTTTATGAGCAAATGAGAATGTGTGTTTGTGCAAGATAAAGATTAATTTATGTTTTTAAAATATCTAATATATTCCATTTGGACTAATACGTTCCGATTTAAATGAATAATGGTTTGATTGATCTGACTGATATTTGACCTACTGTTTCCCCTGCCATTATATTAGGGGGGCGGCCCCTTGAAGGTCGAGTTAATTTTATTTAATTATATTTTCTCTATAGCGCCAGATCACAACAGAAGTAATTTAAAGTTACCTTTCCTATAGAACAGGTCTATACCTTGTTCTTTTATTAAGCAAACTAAATAACCTTATTAGGGATGGGCGTATCGATCCAAAGTATTGATATATCGATACTGACGCGAGTATCGAAAGTATCGACACTCAAACAAAAAATATCGATACTAAGGTGTGTTTTATTTACCAGTGATTTTGTTAATTTAACAAAAATAAATAAATTCGCACAATATGCATTGAATTGGACGAATAACAGCCTTATGTTTTTTATCTTATTTACACGACGGCATGTCATTTCGGTCTCTACGTTATGGTCGCGCTCTCTGTATCACGCACAGGCGCGCGCGCACACACACATACACACACAAGTGAGCACACTCCCACTAGTATTTGCAAATATTAAGCCGCAAAACGATTCATATTTAAATATGAATTCTGCGTGACGCGTGGTTTTGTGTAGTACTCGTACTGAAGCGCGCGTGACGCTTCCGGTGATATTAAACCTAGGGGAAACTCTGACCTTGCTCTAATAAAATGTTTATTGACCCAAAACAAGAACAAATTTTGTATACATTTTTCTTTAATTTGTTCATTTGATCTTCTTTGTAACTCAAAATCCTGGAATTATATGTGTAATGTTTCCTGAAACGATTCTCTTTCAGTATTAAAATATTTTTCTTAAGGTTCTTGTGTGTGACTTTCATGACCCCTGTTGGAAAATTACTAACTAGTGCCTGAAATGTTGCTTCTTCCATTTATAAAACAGTTTCATTTCTCTTTTTGTGGCTAATGGTGACAGATGCAGGCCCTCACCCTTGGTTTTGCAATATAACTTGTTTAGCAAGCAGACTCAGCAACAGTGTGTTGCTTTCTAAACATTCATTGCTTTCATTTCCCATTCCCTGCAGGTTTCCCATGAATATACCTTAATTTACAGTTATTTAAGTTCTCCAGATATAGAGGTAGCCTACCTTCTCAATATGGGTAAAGAAGCAGAAGGTGCAAACTGTTTCAATTCAGCTTCATGAACCAATTGAACAATGGAAATGTATTATGGCACTAGATGGTAGAACAGAGTTGCAGTTCTGTCTTTAAAAAGCAGGAGTGAGTGAGATAAAATGCAATGTAGGAGCTGGTCTTTAAATAGTCTGGCGTATCCAGACCTGCGGACTGACAGCAGATCAGCGGTCCGTGGGCGTGAGACTAGCCTTTAGATGACTGCTGATGGATGTCTGTGATCAAGGTGTTGGTGTCTGGCTCACTCATTCAAAGCATGCGGCATATCCTCAGCTTTGATTCATTGCGTCTGTACAATGACTCCACTTTCTCACAGGGAATAATATAAAGGAAATACAAAGGTAAGTAAATAAATAAAATTAAAAAATCAACTTAAAGGCACAATATGTAATTTTCGCCGCTAGAGGGCGTGTATTCAAAATAAACAAATAGACAAAGGCGTAGTTTGATGACGCCATGACTGAGTGTGGAATCATGGGAGTTGTTGTCTTCATCCCCACAGCCGATGCAATCCGACGGGACTCGGGCAGAAATCATGTTCATGGATGAGCTAATGATTTATTAACGTAGTAGAATGAAGCAGGGTGAGGCTGAAAGCCGTCGAAGTAGAGCCCTGCATTTCAGCCCCTCGGGCCGGGCTTCGGGCCAATTTTCATGTCATAGTTCAGACGCTGGCCGGGCCTCGGGCCTGTTTTAGGCTTCTCCTTATTTTTATATTTTAGACATCCATCAATTAGTGATGAAAAAAATTGCTGCGCTGGTGGAAACAACACGAGACCATGCTAGAGGCTCGACGGTGTTGTCCCGCCAGCAGCAGTATGGTGCATGCCTTCAGAGCAGCTGAACAGTTCTGCGTTCAAATGCACGCAATAGGCTTAAGTTTGCCGCAAAAGTAATTACCATAAATGCGTCAGGGGGAAACAGTAAGGAAATATTTTTACTAATAAACTAGTGTTTTCGTTGATCAAACATACAGTAGGCTCACTGTCTGCCTGGCCGCTTGGTCATTACTTTAAAAAAACAAAAACTTATATTTAGCAAACAAAAAATGCTCCAAAAGTTTTTTTAAATTAACTTCATAAAAAACGAGGCCACTGAACAAGCGTGACACAGCTCGAAAGCAGCGGGGCTTTTATTATGCCACAGTCGACCGCTTCCGCTCCTTCCGGTCGTGCGTATGTGGGGAAAAAAAGCGCTGTTTTATCATACTAGATACATTTGAAAGTTCTGTTATTATGCTACTCTGTACGATCGTCACCAGTCTATTAAAACGCACAAAATATTAAAGCGTCTTTGGTGTTTCCATGTTTTCTACAAAACAAAACCGGAAATCGAGGAGTTATGACGTCATTGGCAGGCGACACAATGACACTATGGACACGCTCCGTGTCACTAGTTAAAATTGCTTATTTCTCTGGATTTAAACATTCTTCAAAACATTTGGGATAATGTAAGTACACAAGTCAGCAAAATATATAACACTGTTCTAGTGGTTTTTGGATATTTTAATTTAAAAAAAATCTTACATATTGTGCCTTTAAGTGACTATGTTTCCTAAAACACAAGTATACTTCTAAAACGTGCACTTTATAATAATGTCTAAAGTTTCAAAAGTTTTACTGTAAACTAAATATATTTTATTTTTTAGGCAAAAAAATGTAACCAGATTTCAAAGACAAGTAATTATGAGATTACATATTACACAAAGATATACTTGAGTCAAAAGCGCACTCTAAAGTTCAGCTAACTGCATTTAAGATATAGTAGATTTAAACTCTAATACATTTTCATCAAATTGCAATTAACGTGCAGTTAAGTGTCCGAAAACAATTCTTTTAAAATAAATTATTTCTGTAACTAGTACCCTTTTCAAAAGTATGCTGAAGTGTACTTATTTTTCACAAGTGGTGACTCCGTTCAATTCATTGTTCATTCCAGAAAAAAGGATGAAAAGACAAACATTTCAGGTGAAGGACAATCCACTTCTTACCTCCGAGACTGTGTTATGATCTATATGACCTTATTATTTTTAACAACCATAGATCAGTTTGTAATGTTTTAAAATTAATTTAAAGGTGACTTTTATTTTGAAAAGCTGTGTGCCTGGCGGCCATCTTTAGGTATTTCTAGAGGATACAAGCACAGTTCACATTGTTGAAAGTGATACAGTAAACCACGCGAAGGGATCGATTAAAAGATCAAACTGGTGAGAATTGGCAATATTCTTAGTTTACGAAATCAAACCCACAGCACAAATTATCTTACGTTGACATGAATGTAGCTGTATTAATCTTTCCCATTTTTATTGGCAATAAAGGTCTAACTTAGTTAGCTTAGCAGCAATACAAATGCAATGGGCAAACTTTTTAGCGTAATAATTGTGTTTTTGCTTACATTTAGCCATTCACGGGACAGTTTAACCTCAGTCGTGTTTTCTGTGAGTCCTCAGTGTGCTGTGGATCTGGAGTTATTAATTCATAGTGTTCTGTCGTGACAGACTGGTTAAGTGCACCAGTCACGAATCGTGATTCACGAGCGCGCAGACTCGGAAGCCGCTTTAACGCTGTTGCAGTTGTGTGTCAGCAGTTAGTCATCCGTGCCTCTCTGCACACACGAGCACATTTCTCATCGAGTCTTGGTTGATTCGTGTGTGTAAACATGCCATCTTCCCTTTGTCCTTGCAGGAAGTGTCTGGTGTTAAACTAACAGTGTGCCTGTGGTCCTGTTGATAGGAAGGGCTCAGCAGTGCCTGTGTGCCCAGGGAGCCACTGCCTGAGTCCCTAGAGGTAGACACCAAACCACAGGACATGAGTGCCGCCAAAGAAGGCCTGGTCATCTTCACGGCCAACTCCAACCCCTCCAGCAGAGAGCTGGGGAGGAGGATAGCCGAGTAAGTTGCTGCTGGAGGTCCAGTATAACATGCCAGTTATATTGGGTAGTTAGGAAAGAGTGGAAAGACATTCATTCTCCAACTGAGCAAATCTGAGCTAGAACAACTGTATTCTTTTGAGTGCTAGGTAACAACAAATCAAGTAAGTGCAAGTACACTACCATTCAAATTATGTACACTACCATTTTAAATTATGAAGTTTTTAACCCTTTAACTGTCACCCGTCCCCTCTGTGGGACGCCTAAGTTTACTTCACTATATTACAATTAAATCCTAATCTAATCATGACAAACTATATATCGTTGGAAAGGTCTAAGTAGGCCTGTCGCGATAATTAAATAACCGTCTACTCGCGATTATTTGATCTATTGTGTCTTTTATACGAGACAAGGGGGAGTCATACACCAAAAGAAACAGAAGAGCACCAGTTTGCTTTTCATGCACTGTATAGCCTGTACAGGGCTCCAGACTCATTCTTCCCACTGGTCGCTCTTTTGCAACTAACTTTCTCAGCTGGTCGCAATATTTTTTTTATTTATTTTTTGCTCTACAACATGGGATTATTCAGTGCATGCTGATTCTTTCTTTGTAATGAGGAAGTGAGTATTTAGTGGAATTGCGTTTAACAAAGGGTTTAAAAGAGTGACCATTAGTTCCACAAACACAGTATTGATATTCTGTAGTGGTGTAGAAAAAAAATAGCGCTGGTGTTGGATCGGTATTGGCCAAT